GCATTAAAAAAAAAGTTATGCGAAAGATTTACTAACCAACAAGATCGCATTAAGTCTATTATAGAAATTGCCAAAAAGGAACGAAATAATTTGTGTGAAGATATAGAAGGTTTGGTGAAAAATCTGGGACGATTTTCTTTGGATAGTCTTCTGGAATATTCTCCTTCCAAATGGCTTGCAGAACAAAATCCAGTTGTTGTGAAGTTTATAGAAACTCTTACTCATAATGAAAATGAACAACAACATGGAGAAAAGCTTTTTAAATGTGCCATAGCCGTTGATGCTATATATGGATCAAGGCACTTGAAATACGTTTCTGCAATCAATTTGGCTGCTTCAGCTATTAAGTATTCGTTAGCAAGGTCAAAAATGATTGTGGATATTGACAATCATATTATTAGTTCCGGTAGCTATTCAAAATTTACTAACTGGCTAGAAAATTTAGCTATAGAACAGCCACCACTTCCCAACGGTCTTCTATTTTTGGCTTTCGACAATGAGCAAAAAGGCCAAAAAAATTATTTGGATCGTGGACATAATACGGTTATATTCCATACCGTTACGAGTTTTGTTGCCTTTAATTATGATCAAAGCAACAATATTCAAACTACGAATCCCTAGCTATATTCCGAACCTACCCAAAAACAATATGAAGAATTATTCTACTTAATATTGGGTATGAAAGATGCAATTCATGAAGAACTTACTAACTATCTTTCAGTTATTTTAGAAGAACTTCTTCTCGAGAAAAATCAGGAAACAAATGCGATTGACGACTTGGTAAACTCTCAAAGCCAGATAGGAAATATGAAAAAATGCTGTTTTTTTTAAGTCTCCGATATTGATAATAAGAAGCGGGTTTGTCCTAATTGTTGTAATAAATTACCTACAATTAGTGAAATAAATCAACAATTTATTGAACAATCTAATATTAAAAATACTACTGACAAGCCTCTAGTTGTTTGTTCTTATAGGTTTAAAGAATTAGATGTGCAAGGATCGGTTCTAAAGGTTCACGAGCCACAAATGTTTATTCCTGATCCGATAGGAATTAATCCCAATTCGATCGCTAATGTTCGAAAAGTTCTTGAGCATATCAAAAAAGCATCTGGAGTTAAAGACAATAGGCGTAAATAGATCGCGGTTACGTGTGATAGAGTGCTGTATCATCATATACTGAAAATGAAAAAGGATTTTCCTTGGCTTATATTAATTCCAGGTGCTCTTTATGAAGAAATGAATATGTTAAAGGCATTCATCGAGTTGAATTGGGATATTGACATGAGAGATTTTGCTCATTGTCAAGGGTATCGAACTGAAAATCAACTTCAGTTCTTCAAAAAATGTTCAGATCATCACAAATCGTGGGATTCAGTATGTAACATATACAGGCATGCAATGGCATCTGAATTGATGTGGCCATATGTTATGTATGAAGAAAACTCTTCTGTCGAAGGTTATTTAAAATGGGCCCAAGAACAAACGGATCCTATGTATAAATTAAAGTATGAACAAATCTTTCTTTATTTGCAAGCAATTATTAACTTTCGTACTGGAGTTCGTTTTAATAGGTCTTCACTAAGACTTGCGGCTAGAAGAACGTTTGCGCCTATTTGGTCTGCTCGACGGCATCCAATTTATCGATTAATCGAGGTTTATGATGAAGAGCAAATGTTACGATTGAAGCCTGAAGTTTTCAACTTAATCTAAGAGAGAATCGTAACTTCACGATCCAAACTTTTGAATCAACATCAAGGCCACAATGCAATACTTGAAGAAATTAATAGGGCGCTCAAATCATTAATTCCTCTGATACCTTCACAACGACATTGGGAAATTGCAGCACGTAATTGTACTAAGTTTTTGAAATTGCATACTAATCTTTTTAAGCTAATAGGGTATTCTGAAAGTGAAACCCAAGAACCTCGTACACGTCCTGGTTTTACTGGTGAATCAAGTCGTTATCGGGCTCGAATAAGAAAAACCCAATTCGTAAATCCAAAAGCTAACAATCGTGTTTTTCAAGATATAAGTGGTGAACAAAAAATAAGTGAAGAAATGAAACGATTTAGCGAAATTGCGAATATAAAGAGAATCGAATTTATTAAAGCTAAACTAATTAACAAAACGGCATTGGAGATTTGGCATCCAATACCTATAACATGTGAAGAGGCGGATTGTCAAAAAACCGAAAGCTCTTTAACAAAATCGCAACTTTCATCTATTATTAACTCTTTAATTCCTTCTTTAGGTGATTCTGATCGTCCGCGTTTTCGAGGTTTATCGAGTAAATCTCGTAACGATTTAATAAATATTCTTCGAGAGATTAGAAGTGTAGTGGCCGAAAATAGTATTAATATTGGCAGTGAAGAATAAAAATAGACGGGGTGCTTTTGGTTAATATTTGTAATTATAAGTATATTTATAATAAAATTTAATTAAAAAATTTTTTAAACAAATTTTTTTTATCAAT